AATGAATCAATGTAAATTGTTTATTGTAAAATGACCTTCGGCAAAAAGAGCACATTTCAAAATGTTGGTTCCGTCAACAACAAATGGTGAGTCAAATTTTAATACTTGAGTAGAATCATAATGGGTGAGTTTCCCAAATTTAACATTCTCGGATTTATATAAGTGAATAGCATTATTCATTCCATATTCTGTTTTGAGTAAATTAATAAAATTAATGTTCTTAATAATTAATTCCATTGTAGATGAGTGATATTTCACCAAAAGTGTACCTTGCAATTCCACGTTTTGTAAATTAAAAACATCACCAGAAAATTGTACAACGCAATTTGATTGTGTACAAGGGCAGTGCGGGTATTTATATTCGGAAGTTATTGACGTTGCAGTTGTCTTTTCGATGCAGATGGTTGCTGACTTTACTTTATTAATTGGGCAAATTCTTAACAATTTTTGTGAGAGTAAATCAGTCATAATTTTGTAGTTTGAATTTGTTATTTTAATACTTGAGTATTCTGTAATTGAATTTTTTGATGAAACAACATCAAAACAACTTGACATGGAAGAGCCAATTTCGATATTTTGAATAGTCAAAGTACCATTATTAATAACAAATAGAATGTTTGTATTCATATTGTTTTGTATATTAATTTTCAAAGTCGCTATATTTATATTTCTTGTTAAGTAATATGTTTTTATTGCAGCAAACTCAAAGCAGTCAATATCAATATCTGTGTTCAGAATTAAATCTCCAAATGTGTTGTCAACAACCATTCTTTTGATATTAATAACATTGGTAGAACTTAAGTTACAATACGTTGCCAAACAGTAAAGTTGATTCCAGTAAGACTCTCCACTAATTTTATAACTTCCTCCAAACGTAGAACAGAATACCAGATCAAATAAAAAAGGCAGTGTATTGAGTCCACAAAACAAATTAGTTTTTCCATTATATGTATTGGCTGTTGTCACAATCGAACTTCCATTTAAATAACATTTTTGACTTGTACTACAGTCTGAGTCAGAATGCATAACAGCATGTTCACATTTGGTCACATCTGTAATTAAATTAAAAGAACTGCTCTTTGTTTTGAAATAAAAAATGACGTCATTCTTTAAGTAACCAGTAGTATGACCAAAAGAAGGCGTGGTGTCAAAGTATATAAATATCGTTTTATAGTATATTATTGAGTGTTTGATACTGACTGAACCATAAAAATAACACCCTCCTTGTATGATAAAAAGTGTGTTTAAATTTAATATAATATCGGTTCCAATAATTAATAATTGATACGATTTCATAAAAATTATTGTATTCCACACATTTAAATCACCAATTGTAGTTGTTGTATCTGTATTTGTTGTGTATAAGTCAAGGTCTGATGAATTATAAATACAATCTGGATAATTGAAAAGTGTCGTTTGCATCGCAAAGTTTCCATTTAACATTTTACAAGAACAATCAATTAATTGATTATTCTTTTTTGGTTTCAATATAAATCTGTTATAATTGTCATGAACACATATTGTATAAATTTCATATTTTTTGCGCTAATTTAGAGTTATGAACGTACATGTTTTTGATTGTAACAGTATTTCCAGAAAAAAGGTAGACATTTGTTTTATCAAAGAAATAATTGTCCAACATTGGAATTGAATTCAAAAACCCGATGATTGGGTATACATCAAATGCACTTGAAGTGATAAGTTGTGAAAGTGTTAAACAAAATACAATAAATATAAAGGGGTGGAAAAAAACCGCTTCAGGAAAAAAACAGCTTTTGATAATTTAATGGTTAAATGATAATATGATTATAGTTTTTTGTATAGTTTATTTTTTTCCTTTTCCTCGATTTGATTCAAAAAACAAGGTTTACAAGAGTCTCTCTGACTTTTTCGAGATGCCGATGTTTGTTATTGAAATTTGTGAATTATTTTTTATGTAAAGTAAAAGCTGGATTTGCCGAATGATAAAAGGAGGAGCAAGAAAGATTGACTTCGAAACTGTTCTTTAGGTCAAAATAACAAAAAACATCTTAAAATTAATCAAATAAAGTGAATAATAATGAACTTTTTATTAAACATTTTTTCAATTTTTTGCAGAAATAAAAAACTCAAAAACACTAACCCGCGAGTGTACCTTTTTTTCACACCCCCTTTCACTCCTTTATAATTTTTTTCAATTTTTTAATCATCTATAAAACAAATACTCAACAGTCAAATCAATTACCTCTCGAGCAACATAGTAAATATATAACTTAGCACATGTTTTTAATACACCACTTTTCAATATCTCTCAGCAAAGACCGACTGCACCTTTATTTCACACCCCCTCTTGTTGGATTCCTCATTCGCTCAGAAATGCATTTCACTGCCAAACTGAAAAAAACTCACTTTGGACATACTCACCAACTGAACGTGAGTGCGTCCATTCCCAGCGGTTTTTCAAGTGCCTGTCAAGCAAGCGATAAATGACTCGTTATTTCGTTGTACTTGCTTTTTTGAAACTTTTTATTAAATAAACGAAGCAATTTATTAATATTGGTCAATAAAAACAATGTAAGACGGATAATTTTGTGTAAATTATTAGAAGCGGTAAAAGGGCGCTGCACATGTCTGTTATAATTTCTCGTGTTTTTTGCTTTTTTCCACCAAAACCTCAATTATTTGAGGCAAATTGAAACTTTGGTTATATTTATGTGTAATTTTATCAGGAAATGGTAGTAAAGCGGTTTTTCCCGCCATGCAGAGAAATGTTAAAATAGACTGGGAGGATACTGTGGACGATCTGAAAGTGCGGCAATCATTTCTGTATGGTGAATAAATTCAAGTTTATTGTGTGTTTTTGTATGTTATTCAATACATTTGGTTAAAAAATATTTGTATGCCGAGAAAAAACACACTATTTTTTCACAATTTAAAAAGGCAATATTTGGTTATTGGATAAGTTTTTATAATAAAACAATAAGAATTTGGTTACGGAAAGACAAAAAAGATCTAAAGCGGTTTTTCGCCACCGTATTATTTTTTATTTTAAAAATCGGCAAAATGCCAAAAAACGTTATTTTTCTATACAATAAAACAAGTAAATGGTAGTGAAGTGGTTTTTCCCGCCAGCAAAAATGCTTGCCCAAAAGTGCATTTTAATAAAAATCTTGAAAATATCATGGAGACAACGACTGTTATAAGCCCAATACTTTATTAAGAAGACCTGGTGCCAAAGTGAAAGTTGATGTGTTGTTTATCTTAAATGTGTTTTTATACCTTTATCCACTAATTATAAAATAATGATATTCAACAACTTTCTTACTATTTGATGGACTATCTTGTTCATTTTATTACAGTAAATATATGTAACATTTTGGGATTTAAGCACACACTTTTATAAAGAAGAACAAAATAACTAAAAACATTAATTATTTTATTATAATTTATACTATAACTTGTTTCAAAAATTGATCAAATGGTGAGTTCGAAAAGTAATGAAAACTACTCAACACTTGAAAGTTCAAAAGAAATACATAACGATAACCACGGCTTCGATACGTTGTGTCAAATGGATCAATTCATGTTCATTCTATGGGTGTCATGCAATTTAAGTAATAAGAAAAATATAAGTCATCTTTTTTAACTATTTTATAATAGTAAATAAACTATTTTTTAACCAGTTTTTCAAAAATACGATTATAGTTACATAAATGGTTAAATTATAATAATTAATAGTTTTTAAATATAATAATTTAATAATCTAAATTTATTTATCGCAACATCAATTATTTAAATTGATTAAAAATAATATTAACAAACAACAAATTTAATAATTAATAACAAAGTTATTTTTCATTTGATAATATACAAGTAAATTATAAAAACAATTCTTTATCTTTACTAACAATAAAAATTAAAAAAAGTCTTTTATCGCAACAAAACAAAGTAACTATAAAATTGTTAGACTAAAAAAACTCTTGTTAAATTTTGAAATAAAAATAATAATTAATCAATAAAATTTAACAATAATATAAAAAACAATATCAATAGCCTATTTAATAAACTCTTTTATAAACCTTTTTAAACAATGTTCCAACCTTCTTCCAAGCCCCCTCAATTAAAGAAAGAATATAAAAAAGGTTCCAAAAACACGAAAGTTTGAAAATGATTGGTCCGAAAATTCCTGTTAGCCAAAGGGCTGAACAATACCTAATTAATTGCCCTATTATTTTCAAAGCTTTCCAAGACCTTGAGATAAAAATAAAACAAATCTTTTCCCACTTTTAGAGAGCAAGTGCAGTTTTCATTAAACGATCTTTTTAATGTACCAATTAATGAGTTTAAAGGAACTAAAAAAATCAATTAGAGTAGCATTTGAGTATTTTTTTGGGACTTTTAAGGAATCGGGTTTAAATTCCCAAATTCAAAAAATACGAAAAGAAAACAAAAATGGAAAAATATCGGAAAAGGGAAGAAAACGACTTCTTTCAGACGAAGAAATTCTAAAAATAGCAGAAGAAATGAAAGAAACCAAAAAAGCGAAACCAGAAGAAATTGGACTTTTCATGTTTGAAAATTTCGGCAAAACAATGGGAACAAGGCAATTAAATAAAGTCCTTAAATTAATCCCAGGAATTGAAACAAAAAAGCCTAAGTTATGGAAATAATCCGAGCAGAGGTATCACAAACTGCCATCCTGCAGTATTACTCGGAATTAAAAAGAAAATTGGATGGATGCAGATTTGAGCTTGTTTTTAACTTAGATGAAGTTGGATTCGATGAATGGGTTGATTCAAGAACTCGAGTTGTCTACGTGTCAGTCGAATCAGGGGAACAAGTTTTTAACGAAGTCGACAGAGATGGTTCTAGAACGAGTCTTTTGTGTTGTGGTTGTCTAGATGGGACAAAAATGATACCCCTTGTTGTTACCAAAAGACTCACCATCGAAGACAACCCAATTGTGGAACTCAAGAGTCGTGCTATTATTAGATACCAAAAATCCGGTGTTCTAAATACGCAATTATACCCCTTGTGGCTCAAACAGGTGTTTTTCCCGAATATTAAGGAAAAAAGAAACCGAATGGGTGTGAGAGTTGATACGAAGGCGTATCTAATTATTGACGGCTTTTCGGGCCATTTCAGTGATGAAATTGAAGCATAATGGGAAAATTGTGTTGAAATTATAAAGGAAGTCCTTCATAGTTCCCATTTATGTCAGCCTATGGATCTGGGAATTTTCGGGAAACAAAAAACTTTCCTTGCGGACAAAAACAATTTGATGTTACACAAAATTTCATTAAGTGAAAAAGAAAATGAAAAGTGTGACGAAAAGGTTCAAAAAACGGGAAAATTCTCAAAATGAACTCACCGAGTTCAAAAATACGTTAAAAAATTTGCAAAGCTCTTGGAGGAAGACAAAATTAGGCAGCTTGTTTACTCATGGGAAGTAGTGTCTGATGGCGACACGATGACCAGCGCCTTCAAACAAGCTGGTATAATATACGTGGTTCAACACCCATCAAAAGAAGAGTTGGAAAACATGAGACTTGTCAACCCCAACTTCAACACTGTAGATTTTCTTAAAGGTGTTGCAAAAGTTGACATGTCTTATGCCAGAGAGGTTTGCTCTTTTCTTGGTAAAAATCCAAAAAGAAAAGAAACCCAAACTGTTAGAGTCTCCATTGAAAATTTTACTGATAGAGAGCACCGGCTCGATGTTGAAAAACTTATAAAAATCAAAAAGGATGAAAAGAACAAAATTTCAAATGAAAAGAAACCTCGAAAAGAAAAAAATAACTTGGTTTTATTTTTTTTTATTTTTTTAATTAAATTTTCTATTTTTATTATTGCGTTTTATCGCAATAAAAATCTGTAAAATATAAATTTTTAAAGTTCTAATAATCAAAAAATGAAGAAGGGTATAAAAGAGAACTTGTAAAGTGTAAATTACAAAATATAACGTTTAATACGAAGTTAAACAATTTTTGTTTGTTTATTAGACAGCAACACAATGAAGAAAATAATATTAAAGTGAAAAATTTAAAGAAGCCGATAACAAAAAAGCCGATAACGAAAAAGCCGACTTTATCCTTGTCACTTCTTTTTTCTTCTATCTGTAATATTTTATCAATTTCAAAATAAAAAAAATAAAAAAAAAGACTTTTAATTTTTTTATAAGTTAAATAACAAAAAAATAAATTATAATTACAAAAACAAAAAAAGCACAACAAGTTCAAAATTTGGAACTAATCAAAATTAATAGTTCTCTCTTTATTTTTTCTTTTGACTTAAAATATTGAGTCCTGTTTTCCTTATCAAACACATGTTTATTCATTTATTGTTTTATAGTTTGTTGCCACATTTAATCTGTTTCAATAAAACTTTTTAATAACTCTTTGG